AACACGAACTCTGACAAAATCGATGTTCAACAGACAAGCGCTGCATTCAGAGTTTGTATTTATGAAACAGACTCAGCTGAGTTCATGAATGCAGAAAACTGGCCAGACCAAATCATCGTCCGCGAATGGTGTTTCAATGATCCGTCGGCAAATGTTGTCAATGACCTGTCGGCAAATGTTGTTTCAACTAAAAATAGCAATGAATAAAAACTTCATAGAAGAGAATCTCGAAGAATCAAAATATTACACTGTAAAAGAATTATCTAACATAATAAAATTGAAGAATAAAATGAAAAACAATCACCTACCAATCATTCATCTGAATGCTCGAAGTTTGTTTCATAAATTATTAAATCTAGAAATCTTCTTAAAACAATTCGACGACTTTTTCAAAATTATAGTAATATCAGAAACGTGGTTGAACAATGAAACAGTTGATTTAATTAAGTTAAATAATTACAATTTTGTATATAAAAATAGAAAAAGCAAACGAGGCGGAGGTGTTGGTGTGGTCATAAAGCATGACATCAAATATGTTGTAAATGATAACAGTGCATTTGATGATGAAAATGTCGACGTTCTCTGTGTGGACATTGAATCGAGGCATGCTTCACCTAGGGGTGTGCTAAAAGTTATCGCGATATACCGCCCACCCAATTATAAATTTGAGCCTTTTTTAAATAAAATCAATTTGATTTTACACGCCATCAAATCCGCCGACAAAACTGTTATAGTGGGCGACTTTAATGTTAATTTATTGGACAATGATTCAAATGATTCTAAAGACTTTCAAAATCTACTATTTTTATTTTGTTTCTCGCCTTTAATTAATTTACCAACAAGAGTAACTTGTAACGCCAATTCATTAATCGACAACATATTTACGAACCTGTATCAACATTGCGAAAGTGGAGTCATAGTATCAGACTTTTCTGACCATTTTCCAGTTTATGCAATAGTAGAAAATTTTAAAACTGCTATCAATGATGACCAAATTTTATGTAGAAAAATTAATAAAACATCCATTTTCTTTATAAAAAAAGCCCTCTCACTTCAAAATTGGCATTCAGTTAAAAACGAGAATAATATAGATACAGCATGCCTGAATTTCTACAATATACTCAATAAAACTCTTGACACATACGCACCTCTGCAGTGGCAGAAACAAAAATATAAAAAAGCATGGGTATCTGATGAAATAATAAAATTATCAAAAAAACAGAATCGACTGTATAAAATAGCAGTCGCTGCACCAAACTCCGCTAATGTTGAAAAATATAAAAAGTTTAAAAATTACTTTACATCAGTAAAGAGAAAGGCCGAAAAAAATTATTTTCAACAAAAATTTGAAGAGGCAAAGAGTTGCTCCAAACAAAAATGGGAAATAATAAACGGTATAATGAATAGAAAACAAAACAATCTTGAAATTAATAAGCTAAAAGTTGACGAC